CTCGATCCAATCGCCGCCCCGACGCGAACTGACAACAACAACACGAACCTCATTTCCGGTTAATTCATTCGCACGAGGTATATTGGCTTATCTCAACTTTTGACATTGTTTGGAGTTGTTTGGAGAGTGAGAATTGTTATAGTATGTTTGAATGTGGTGGTGTTTGAAGATTGAGAATTGTTAATTGTTTATCGATTATGTGTGTATGTTGAATTGTAGATTGTAATTTTGTTGTAAATTGTAAATTGTGTATTGGTTGGTTGTTGTTGGACTTAGAGTTTTTCGAAATTAGGGTTAGAATTAGGGTTTTCAATTTATTCGAAATATAGATAAATTGTATGTTATTGTTGGATTATGGGTATTAGGGTTTTAGAGGACTAATCGATTGGGAATATTTTTTTTGTTTTTTTCGTTGGAGTAAAAAAGTGGGTTTAAAAAATAATTGAATTTTTTGGGTGTTGGATTAGACATTATGTGTTGTTGTAATTGGGAAGAAGTGAATTTTTTTTTTTTTGCAACAGTATAAATGGCGCATTGCGGTCCGTATTTTGTTAATTTGTATTGGCGATATGTGAAAGAACAGTTAAGAGATTTTGTTTCATTTATAGATCATCCGGATGGTTCATTTGTTATTACGGGGAGGATATCATATGAACAATTGGTACAGATGATTAATGAAAATTGTCAGTTTGGAGAAGGTTGGACAATTCAAGAGATTACTTTAATGTTTCGTCAACCCGATGGTTCATGGAATGCCGGAAGACTCGATAACGATAGTGCTTTCCAGTGGATTTATTTCTTTCCTTCTATGTCCGTTGTGTATTTGCATTTATCGTTGGAGGCAATTACATTGGTTACACAGTTTGAGGATTTTACTCTTTATTACAGGGGAGTGGATGACGTTGAGGGCATGTCGACTTCTCATCTACGTAAATTTGGAGAAGGGACAAGCTCACTAATGAGAGAATAGGCAAATGAGGACGGGGAAGAAAGTGATGAAGACTTCGCACTCGGTGAAGATGATTTCACAGACGAGACCTCATAAACCGAATCAGATAGATCGATAAATGAGTAGAGTGAAGCCGAGTTCATTGAAGAAGAACACCCCTTTCCTAGTGGTGGTCGACACGTATACCGCGAGATGGGTGAATGGGAGCCGTCCAGGATAGATGAGGACGAGTATGCTATTCCACGTTTGAATGGTGACATTGAGACCATATGTTTGGATATAGTTTTTAGGAGCAAGCAAGAAGCCCAAATGGCTCTAATGGCTTAGAACGTCGATAGGTTGCGGGAGATTCGGACAAATGATTCAAATCAAAAATCATACAAAGTGGGCTGCAGATCTAGTGAAGATCCGCCTTGTGTGTAGAAGGCTCCGGAGACTAAGTCCAGACGGGTTCATGAATTGTGGGAACTAACTGAATGGACTGATAGACACACTTGTATGCAACGGGTCGAGAGAAATGACCACAGAAATGTAACCGCCCAAATGATTTCAAATCTCATTTGTAATAAGATTCGAAAGAAAGTGGAGTACGGTGTCGGCATGATCCAGGCTGATGTGAAGCAGTGCTGGAAAGTGGATGTCAGCTACAAGAAGGCATGGCACGGAAGGAGAAAATCCATCGAGAGTGTGTATGGCACTTGGGAATCGAACTTCGCAGAACTCCCTCAGTAAGCAAAAATTAATTACAAATATATGTCTTGTTTGTCTGTCACTATGTTTATCTATTTATTATGAAACCGTTTTGGAATGCGCAGGTATTTTGCCGCGCTTCAAAGAATGAATCCCTCCACAGTTGTAGAGTGGGAATGGCAGGGTGGGAAAATGGCACGACACCTTCGAGACAGACAATTCAAATTTGTATTCTGGGTGTTTGGTCCCGCCATTCAAACTTTCCAAATGTGCCCGCCGGTTATTAGCGTCGATGGCACACATTTGCGTGGATCGTACAAGGAAAAATTGCTTGTGGCCACGGCACAAGCTGGGAATAAGCGGCTATTGTCAATCGCGTATGCGCTTGTCGATGAAGAAAGCACAGACAGTTGGTCATTTTTCCTTAGGAATCTACGGCAATATGTAGTCTTCCATAGACGGATATGCGTTCTTTCTGATAGGGATGCGGGCCTACTCAGTGCCATTGAATCATTAGCTGATTGACAAGAACCCGCTGCGTATCACCTGATTTGCCTTCGACACCTTTGAAGCAACGTGGTGACTAGGTTCAGGAGTAAGAAAATCCAGACTTGGTGTTGGGAATTGGGTTCGTAGTTGTCGGAGCGAAAGTTTTGAGAGACAGAACAACGACTGTTGGAATTGGATTCCGAAGCACACAATTACCTTTTTCAAATTCCTTTGAACAGGTGGACCCTGTTTAAAGATAAAGGACGTAGATGGGGCACATTGACAACGAATATGTCGGAGAGTTACAACAACGTCCTAAAAGGGGTTAG